GCTTGGCGTAGTCTGCAATCTTGCTGAGGATGCACTTGATCCCACTGTCTGTGTTGCCTACATGGATGTTAAATAGCTCTGGTCCCAGCACCCATTCCTGAGGAATACCACCCTTCACCAGTGTCCACATGGATTTTGAGCTGTTGACCATAACTCTCTGAGTGTGACCATCCAGCCAATTCCTTCTTCAGTGAGTGGTCCAGTCATCAAATCCATTTTTCTGCAATTTGGTAACCAGGAGTCTTTTATGTACAGATACAGACTGTCATCTTAGCATGTAGTTGCAGCAGGTTATTATAGTTGGGCTCACTTACAGACTTGCAAAAGAACACTGATCATTCCTGCTAGTAGAACTTACTGGGAATCTGGGTGGAGCAAAAAGTGAGACTTGAAAGTGTATGGGCAATCTTTCTGAAAAGACGTTGGAAATAGATGCAAATAGATTGTAGTGGCAATCTTTAGTTGTGCTTTGACTGGTAAAGCAATGCGAGTCCTCAAATAGAGAAGAGGAAGAGTTGCTAGGTTTCTAGCACTTTCCTGTAGCCATTATGAAATGAATCAGTTACATTTCGGCTTTTTTTCTTGAGCACTTTTTAGGTTAGTTGGCTTTTGAAATGTGTGTGCTCTGTGCTTCTCTTGAAATGTGATGAATTTTCTTGTAATGTGCAAGATGGCCTCATCTAGAAGCTTTTTATACAGTATTGTTAGCTGTTAGTATGCAAAATAATCTACTAAATGATAATGGAAAGTCAAAAGCAGCCTACTTAAAGGTCATCTACCTGGGTAAAAATTCTACTAGTTTAAGATCTAAGCAGAATTTTGAGGGTTGGAGACACTTGGGTACAGCAATTATAAATGTAACACATTATAAATGATGGAAATTCAATTAGTTGCTTTAAATAGAATTTCAGTGTAACTTACTGTTTTAGAATAGCATTTTTAGTAAATCTGCTACTGATGAAAGCAAGCCCTATAAACACATAGAGACCAATGACAGTGAAGGAATTTTGCTGATTGTACCACGGGATCTTTTTTTACTGTGTTAACAGAGGCATGAGTCTTAAAATTAGTAACAGTTTATGAAATTTACAAAATCCTTTTTGGATAAAGGAATGTGGGTAATTGCTGTCACTGGACTCTGTAATCAGTGGCAGGTAATGTCTTTTTCTTACTGTATTTTCTCCTGTTGCTAGTGTTGGAGAAGGATGTGCCTTGCCTGCCTGGTATGGCAGAGCTAGAACCATGTGTGCTCAGCAGTCCAAGTCAGTTACACTCAGAAGGAGTGTCTTATTCTATGGGCAGACTGCCCTCAAATGAAGGTATTGACGAGCAGTTGGACGCTTATTACAGTCTCCACATCTGACTGGCTGTCTTCTAGTGTATTCTAGTTTAGTAGTTTTGTTATGTTCTGCCTGGGAAAAGCAATCAAGTTTTTCAGGCAGATCTTGTCTTGTTATGGGGCAAAGATTGGGTGCCTGTAGAGGAAAAGGGCTGTGCAATAGAAGTAGAAATAAGACTGTGTCTTAATTCAGGTATAGCACTACACCGTTCCTGCAGTTACTTGGAGGACAGGCTTTTATTATTTGGGAACAAATCTGTTGTATAAATGCTACAATTATTTGTTGACAGGAAGACAGACCAATGTGTACTGCTTTGTAGGTGCTAGAATATTTAATCTTGGAAAACCTCATTGGATGGTTTAGAAATACAAATCTTAATACTAATGAATCCTGAGTCTTTTCTTGCTTAGAATAAGCATGGATGCTAAATTACATTAATGGTTTAAAAGTACTTTGGCGGAGTAATTCAAGGGACAAAGCAAGCATAAAAGTCTGAATTTTGCTGGGACAGATTATTCTTTCCTCTGATAAAGCATTTTCTGTACGTCTTGTCTTCTGTGTTAGACAGTACTCAGTTGTGCATGCCTTAGCAGAGTGGTTTAACTAAAGATAGTATTTTGAATGAGGAGAATGCAGTTGATCATGCAGTGTCTGGCATTTACTTGCCAGGTAGGCAGTGTGTAGGTTGGGTAGGCAGTTTCTGGTGGTTTCTCTCGGAGCTGCAGTCAGAACCCATTAAGGTGAAGTGACCAGGAGTTGAATCGTCGTGCGGCATCTTTTAGAACAGAGCTCCCCCCTTGGTGCTTTTTTCCTTTTTTTCCTTTTTTTTCCCCCAATGCTTTAAGAACTGTGTTTCTATAGCAGTACTGAGCAGAAGCAAAACACTCCCATGAAGCTGCATCTGCTCTGAAGCACTGTTAGGCTTCTTATCTGCTAACTGGGAATGGAGAACAGTACCTCCCACTGCTTGTAACGGTGCAAACTTCACTTTGTTTTTCCAGTTCACAACAGCTGGCTTAAAAATACAGCTTGGAAGCACGTGGGGGGTGGGTGGGGAGTATGAAACTAGAAAAACAACTTTGGATTTTTTTGAGGTGGTGTTACATCCCGGGACATGCTTTCCTCCTTTGGTCCTTGAGAGCAGTATGCTATTTGTTACAACTTTGTGCAGATCAGGGAAGCTAGAATTACTGGGGTGCGGTTCTGTAAAACACATGCCTGTTTCCTGTGGTATCTTTGCTCATGCTGTATTCTAAAAAAGTGTATACTGAAATTGCAAATGAATATACCCTGTTTAAGACTTCTAAACCTTGAATTGCTACTCATCTTGAGCACGGAGAGCTACTATTAGGAAAGGAGTCCATCTCTTATTACTTAATGTATTAATTGAAGGGTGATAACCCATCGGGAACTCAAGTATGTTTAACTGAATGACAGTTAAGGAATTTTACTGATCGTACCATGGGATCTTATTTTACTGTGCTAACAGAGGTGTGAGTCTTACAAATAGTAACTGTTCATGAAATTCACAGAATCATAGAATGGTTTGGGTTGGAAGGGTCCTTTAATAGCATCTAGTTCCAGCCCCCTGCTATAGGCAGGGACACCTGCTGGACCATATTGCTCACAGTTCCATCCAGTCTGGCCTTGAGTGCTTCCAGGGAGGGGGGCATTTGCAACCTCACTGGGCAATTCTGTGAGGAGGATACTAACTGAACCAGCTTTATTTTAAAACTTATACAGCAGAGCTGAAAAGTAATTCAGGCACAGGTTGCCAAGAGCTGCCATAAATGTTTCTGATTTCTGGTACTTCCACTGTGCTCAGATACTTCTGCATTTAATCACTTATGCAGGTGTTGTCAGCCAAGGGTAGCTACTGCATTTTTGTCCATTAACAGGAGAACCGAAAGCCTATATATATTCTTTTCATGATAGCTGGTATGTAAGTGGATTAGGTGAACAGAAGGGGCTTTAAAGCAAGCAAACAACAATCTGTTGCTTAATGACTTGTTTAACCCAATGCCTTTTAGACATAATTTATGGATATCTTTGTTCTTGCTGGTATATGTTCTAAGGAAGGCAGATGTAGAAGCTGACACTCCTCTGGTGCAAGAAACTGCTTCTAAGTACAAGTAGCAAAACTGGTTTGGGGCTCTCAGTCCTAGCAAGCATATCAGACGATTCTGTGCTTACTCTATCTTTTTAGTCTCTGGTCACACTGTTAACTTACAGTATAAATGGCAGTTTGAGCTCTCTTACTGAAACTGTTCACAGCGTACCTTTCTAACCCCTGAAAAATGGGTAGGCTAAGAAGGTGGATTACACTGGAGAGCAAATAAATGAGGTTTTAGTGATATACAGCAAATTGCTGTTGGCAGTGAAGTGAGCTGCAAGAGTAATGCCCAGTAAAACACTGGGGTTTTGTGCACTTTGAATCTTGTCTATGTACCTTCACATTTTCAACCTTTGCTCTACTGGAGAAGTGTTAAAATCGTTTTTGTTCTTAAAATCTTTGCAGCTTCTTTGTTTTTCTTTTTTGGAGTATAAACAAGCAAGTAGAAATGAGCTCTCAGAAATCTCAGTGTACTTGAAGACTTGGCCTGGTTAGAAGTTAAGTCATCTGTGTGTCCAGGAGGGAGTATTCCTACATCTAGGAATCTACAAAATATTCTGATAATGTGAAGTTGTAAATGGAATCAGCCATGTTTTAATCAAATGTTTGAGATAAGAAGCTTCTGCTCCTTATCTCTGAACTTGTTCCCTGATAACTGTCAGTGAAAGATAAACAGGTATATTCTTGCTTCTGTAAAATGAAATTATAATCCTGCTTGTTGCAGTTTTCTTGCCAGTTTCATTTCATGGTGAGAAGCTTGTTACTAGAGTGTATCATATAATATTTCTTCTGAAAGGCAATTCATTATCTCATTTCCTTTTGCTTAAGATCTTTTTAATAAATTTGGCTGCATAGTAAGGTCACCTAAAACATTTATTCACTGTTTCTAGATGTTTCACCTCCCTGAGAACCAGGTGGTAGTATGCAACTACATAGGGATCATTCTACTGGTTTGTGAAGTGCCTGCTCATACTAGTGTCTTAGTTCAGCATGTGTTCTTTTTGCCTTCGCATGTTATTCTATCTTGTTTGCTTTCTAACTCGTAGCCCTTGAACAATATCAGGAATTGTGCCTTATAATCTCCCCAGATATCTATGGAGACTGGAACAATATTGTTCTGTACCTACTACTCTTCTGCAACAGGTTGAGGTTGTTTTTGCTTCCAAGAACTTTCTTGATATTTATCCTTCATATGTTCCGAGGTCTGAGACATCTTTGCTTTGTTGAATGATTCCAGGATTTCCTACACTGAGAAATACAACCTCATCAGCTGTAAATGGCCCTCTCATATGTTATCAGTATGTAGATTTGTATGCAAGTTGCATCAGGCAGGATGAACACTAAGACATCTGAAAGCTATGCTCTGTGAGCAAGCTGAAGTGGTGGGTGCTGGGAACTCTGGGCTGCCTGGGCAGGTGACTTTATAACTGCTGGCAGTGGAGTTTTTAGAACCCTGGGAATGGGTCTCTGGATGGAGACAGATGATGTTTTTCATTATTGTGTAATGTCAGTGCATGTATTATAATGATGTCTGTTCTGATTTCCAGATCAGTGTGCGTGTTACCACCATGGATGCTGAGCTGGAATTTGCCATCCAGCCCAACACTACAGGGAAACAACTCTTTGATCAGGTAAGCAATGGAGCTGCAGAAGATCTGAAGTTGATGCTAGTGTTGTGATTCTGACAACAGTTTCTAAGGGCTTCCAGTATTAAATGACAGTGTGTGTAGCAACTTTAAGAGAACTCAAAAATATGAAATGACATGCTTTTTTCAAAACTACTGTTTGGTTTTCTTAGAATATGTTAGGAGCTTTTCTTACTTTCACTAAACTGTATTGATACTGTAGTTCATAATTTGAGTTGTGGCTGCAGATATCTACTGCTATCCAACTCATGAGATCAGTCTTGCAGGGCAGCTACTGTTAAGCTTGGCTTACTTGCAAACATTGTGTAATTGATTTCAAAGAGAAACTGATCTAGAACAGGATGGTCTTAGCTGAGGTTTCAAACATTGTTGCAGCATTGTGCACGCAAAATGATATTCTATGCTCCCAACACAGCTTGAGGGCGATCCTAAGAAAAGTTATGTACTGTATTATATTGAGCCTTCATCTAGGTGCTTTAGCCTTCCCCTGCATTCACTGACTGGGCAAGGTTCTTTCTACTTTGGTCCAAACAGAAAGAGGGAGACATGCAACCCAAGTTTGGAGCAGCTGAAGACAGACTTAACTGCAGCTGCTGAAACTTTGACAGGCTCCAGTGTGTTCCTGCTGTAATCCTGAAAGGCATATCTAGGCAACTGTCTAGCCACTCAAAGCATCTGTGCTGCTCGCAAGTGACGTAGTCTCTTCCTGTAGACAGTCAAGGCTTTGTGAGGACACTGAGGAAAAGATCAAGGATTTCCTAATCAGAGAAGAATCTGAGTAATAAGTTCATGGCTTGAAGGAAAGTAAAATGAATCTCAGATTCATGACCAGATGAAGGAACTGCCAGACCAGGTATGCCAGGTATGGCCGTGGCTCGGTAGTACTAGGCATTCTGGGACCAGCTCTACCCTGAGCCTGTCTTAATAAACAGAGAAACTGAAGAGCAGACCCACCTGTAGAGGTCAGCTATTTCATGTGGGGATGGAGAGCCTGATTTATTTATTTATTTATTTATTTATTTTTAACCACAAACTGCTACTTTCCCTCATACTCACCTGAATGATTCAAAGCTAGATACTATATTGTCCTCTATAGCACAGCCCTGGAATGCAGTAGAGTGAGATTCTATGGCTTAGCAAAGAGTGCCCTTTTATGATGGGATAGGAAAAAAGGCTTTCAAAAAAGTTCTGTGCTGCAGTGTAGTTTCTCAGCTGTTTCCATGTAGCTCCAGTATATTGAGCCCTGTGTGATCTCAAGACTCTCGCAGTTCTTTTGATAGATGGAATTTAGTTCTGGATTCCATTGAGAATGCATGTGTGCAATGTGGAACTCCACCAGTTAGTTAATGAAACCTTATTCTATTAAAGCTTACATGATATACTCCTAAATTCATCAAGAGATGAACTGAATTTTGTAATTTTATTTTACTTATTTATTTTTTGGAGAAGTGCTTCTTCAGTTGGATGCTTCCTGTAACTATTTTTCAACATCTGATTTTTGGCATTGTGTAAACAAAGCACCAGGTACTAGGAAGTGTTGCTGCTGAAGTTAGTAGTGCTTTAAGTCTGCCTAAATTTTTCAGTCTGCTCTAGACCACCTGTAGCTTTTGCCTCACTGGACATTGAGTACAAAATGAAACTGTGGTGTGAAACTTGGACTTGAACAGCTTGTCTGTGTTTGTGAAGCTTGTAATCGTTTCTCCTGTATGGGAACTTTTCATCTCTCAGTAATTGATTTCACTCCTTTGTGAACAGCTGCATGTGTGGAAGAAAGAATTTGTCCACAGGCAGAATTGCACATCAAGGCTGAAAATTGCTGGGATAGGGGTGCAAGTGCTTGTATGCTGTAGCTATAGGCTTCCTACTGTTGCGTATGTTAAACATAGTTCTCATCTTCACTTAATCTTTAATCCAGTGCTCTGCTTTACCCCCATCGTCTCTCTTCGTTGCTCTTTAAAACAAATACTTGTTCACTCTTAAGAGAATTTAGGAGAAGTGCAATCTTGTAGCTTATCCAATTCTGGCTTGTCATCTTCATAATTTTTTTTTTAATACTTTTATCTGGCATGTATCTGATAGGTTCAAAATGGCTGAGCTATTTGTGTAGATTAGTTCCTCTAAAGGGCTAGCTCAGGGCTGTTTTCCCTGCTGATGCTACTAAAGGGATCTAAGCAATGATTGCTGTCTGACTAATGTCTGTTCACTAGACACTAGAAAAGCTTTCTATTACTTCAGATTGTGACAGCAAGTTGTTGGCCTTCCCAAGACACTTTCCTGGGTATGAGGTCAGCACCTGAAGCAAACAGTAATGCCAATGGTTCCATTTACTTCTTTAGAGGATAAGTGACTTTTCAAGCATTGTAGCTAATCTTGGTCAAAGTGTCATTGTTCTCTTCCCTTCTCACATTTGCTGGTTGTTGTTGTTGTTGTTTTTGAATGTTAGTAAGAGAAAGATTCAGCTAGTGCACACAGCATCTTTCTCTTGGCCAAGTCTAGATTTCACAGGGTTGCCTGGATTACGTTATTTGAAGTTTTGGTAAGGTCAGCTTATACTTTAAAAGTACTACTCTCTGTAAGAGGTGGAAGGAGTGCTTCTGAGATGAATATATAATAGTGCTGAACTCTCTGAGGAACCTGGTTCTGCAATTGAACTAAGAAGCGGAATTTGTATTTTTTTTCTTTTACTTTTGCGAATTCTTATTTCTACTTCTCTCTACTCATGCTTCATTTTGGACATAATGTGCCTGAATACTAGCTGAGTCAATGCTGTATTCAATTTTGAAAAGTAATTGAGAGAAGGCTTCCCCAGTCATGATCATTGCAGGATATAAAGCCAAATAATACCTGGGCCTGATTGAGATCTTTTGCTTGTCTAATCCATGGCCTAATCAAGGAAGGACACTTGTGCAGTGGCACAGAGGTTTTCAGTGGCAGTGAAAGCAGGATAATTAAATGACATTTATCTGCAAAGTGTCTCTTTTACTAAATTGAATAGAAAAACTATGGCATATTAAACTGCAGATGAGGTAGATTAGCCAGGTCAGAGCAGTCCAGCAGTATTGTTTGCAAGCAAATTTCTGTCAAAAATACTTGACATGCCTCTCATGGCCTTTTCATCTTTGGAAAGGACAACAGGCAATGTTCGAGACATATGTAGTATTGTGGATGCTTTGTGATGCTCTATCCTTTGAAGCAGGAACTTGAAATGTCTTTTTTGCTTGAATACTTTGCTTTTGTCTTTGTGTAAATATTGCTTTCATGCTGGATCTGCACTTGTTTGCATGTGTGGTGTATTTCCTCCAGAATCATCTAGTCCAAATGTCTACCTACCACTAATATTTCACTACTAAACCATGTCTCTTAGAACAACATTTAAATGTTTCTTGAACACCTCCAGAGATGGTATCTCAACCACCTCCCTGGACAGAGCCTGATCCTGTGCCTGACCACTCTTTTAGAGAAGAAATTTTTCCTAATATCCAGCCTGAACCTCTCCTGGTGCAACTTGAGGACATTCTCTCTAGTCCTGTTGCAATTTATGTGAGAGAAGAGGCCGACACAATCTCCTTTCAGGTACTTTCTGCTTTCAAGTGGACAGCTGTAAGGTCTCCCCTGAGCCTCCTCTTCTCCAGACAATTTTCCTAGGTTGAGAACTATAGCAATCTTGAACAGTCATCCTCGTGCTAAAATTTACATTTAAGAGGTCTACTTGTGGCCCTCCTTCTGCTGTGAGACAGCTCTTAATGGCAAGAACAATAGCTGGGAAGGAGACCGGTGTTTGTGGAGGGGGAGGTGAGAAAGCCATGCAGACATGAAAAAGTGGAGTTTTCCTGTAGAAAACTTTTTAGCTCATGATAGTTTTGCTTTCAAAATTGAACCAAATATCCTGTTGAAGCTGAGGTGGAAAGGACTGTCACTTGGTAGAGACTACCATCATCAGCCTTTACTTTAAGGATGAAGGCTGAATGGTACAGATCCATGCTCAGATTAACAAGCCACCATGTGCCTTGCTTTACATTTCACATAATTCCTAGAGGAGGAATTGCAGTGCATCTTAGTTTGATTTAGTAGCCGACTGGGGCTGTGAAGTTCTTGTGTGTGTGCTGTGCTGTCTCCCCCTCTCCTCTGTCCAGACCATTGTTGTCAATGCAATTGCTGTGCAGACTTCTGCTGTGGAATAAAAGTCCTTTTGTGCGAGGCCTCAGTGTGATGCCATTCAGCTCCTTGCTGGCAGTTCAGCTTATTGAATTCCCAGGCTTAAGCTGCAGACAAATGAAAGTGAGGCAAGCAGACACATACAGCAGTGGGGGTGAGCCTCCATTCTATTCAAATGTTAATATTGCAGAGAACAAAGCTTTTCTTAGGCTCTAGGACAGCCTTTCTTCCTCTCTTTCTACCAAGAGTTTTCTATATATATACTGCGAAATCTAATGCTTTTTTGAAACCCTCCTTAGCTGGGCGCGTCCCACTATGTGACGTGTGTACGTGAAGGGCTATCAGACCTACATTCTTTGTTTAACGTGTTATTTAGGCCAGCTCTCCATATTCAGGCAAAGATAGGCTGAATAATTTCATGGACTTGAAGAATAGTGTATAGTCTATGTGGCCTTATGTAGGTTGTGTGTGTGTGTTTCTAACAGCATGCAGCTGCTGAAAGCTTTTTTTTTTTTCTGCTATGATACTACTTCTGTAAAGCCAGCAGAAATGTCTGATCCAAGCCCTAAATAATTGAACTAGTAATATGTTTGCAGGGACCCCGTGTCCTTAATTTTGTGGCTTTACAAATCTGGACTCCACATAAAAGAGAATAGAGCACATCTTTAGGAATCAGCAAGGAAGTAACTTAAAAGAAATTAGAGAATTAGAGAGGCATCATGTAAATCATGGGACAAGGCAGGACTAAATCTACCTCAACTATCTGTCAAATCCTTTAGCCTCTGCAGGAGGAAAGCTGGAAGCAAGCACAGGGGGGAGTAATGTTGAAAAGCAGTACTCCAGGTACAGTGTTAGACCTCAAGATAAGTGTTTTATCCTTTCTCCTCCTTTGTCTGGTAGTGGAAGTTAAAGGTCGTTGCCCTGTTTGCAGGCATAAGATCAACTCCAGGGTGTCCGGGAAGGATGTGAAGGAATTTCAGTTTTTAGACTGAATGAACCCTATAGCAGGTGTGCCTCAGACTTGCCAGAGCACAAAGTGGTGGCCCTGTGCTGGTGAACTTGCATTATAAAAAAAATTCTCTCTCCTTTCTACTAGCATTATATTACAGTAGTCTTGCCCTCCCCCATGATGCGCTTTTTTTTTTTTTGTTACAGTATATTTGTAAAGCTGCCTTTTATTTTTGTAACAGTTGTGGCCTGCTAGAGACATGATTAAGAAGAGAGCTTCTATGCCAGCATAAATATTTCCTGTGGAGGTTCTTTCCTGCTACACCTGACAGATCCATTGCATTGTATTTTGGCTATAAAAGTTGGCTTGTAAGTGGCTAATCAATATAGTATTTGATTTAAAGTAACAACCAATCTTAAGGATATGGGGAAAGAGATGCATGTGTTTCCCACACGGGATTTCTCAGATGCTCTGTCATCTATGAGTGAGCACAGTGTCAGGGGTGGCAGAATGCTAGGTCTCTGCTCATCTGAACTTACTTCAGACAGGTTTTCTGCTACCAGTGAGATCAGCCTGTCTGGCCATGGCTCTTGCTAATTATCTTTATTGCAGGTTGTCAAGACAATTGGTCTGAGAGAAGTCTGGTTCTTTGGACTCCAGTATCAAGATACAAAGGGATTCTCAACGTGGCTCAAATTAAATAAAAAGGTATGTTTGCTTCAACCTCTCATTTGTCTGAGGTTCCCTTCTCTTGGAGGACAGGAGCAGACTCTGTACTTCTATCAGGGATCTTGCTTCTTTACGGACATGAAGTTTACAGCAAGATTAGGGAGTTGATACCACCTTCCTTCGATTGTTAGAGTCATAGAAAGGCATAGAAGGGACCTTAAAAATCATCTAGTTCCAACCTAAGATTGCCGCTCACCAGATCAGGCTGGCCAGGCCCCACGCAGCCTGATCTCAGTCACCTCCAGGGATGGGGCAGCCACAACTCTAATAGGCAGCCTGTGCCAGTGCCTTACCATACCCTGAGTAAAAAATTAAAAACAACAAACAAACAAAACAAAAACAACAACAACAAAAAGAAACTTTAAAAAAAAAAAAAGGAAAAACAAACAAACAAAAAAATAAAACAAAACCTCCTAGTATAATCTAAATCTCTCATCTTTTATTTCAAAACCATTTTCCCTTGTCCTATTGAACCACATAAACAGGAGAGAGAACTATTTTTTATCAGCTCCCTTTAAGTACTGGAAGGCTGCAGTGAGGTCTCTCCGAAGCTTTCTCTTCTTCAGGCTGAACAAGCTTATCTTCAACCTTTCCTCTTAGGAGAGATGCCTCAGTCCTCTGACAGTCTCTGTCGCCCTCTTCTGAACCTTCTCCAACAGCTCCATGTCTTTGTAGTGCTGGGGGCCCCAGGCCTGGATACAGTTCCAGATAAGGGCCTTAAGAGGACAGAGCTGAGAGGGTTAATCCTCTCTCTAACTCTGATGCCCCTTTTGGTGCAGCCCGGGATACCGCCAGCCTTCTGAGCTGCAAGTAAACACTGTTGGCTTGTGTCAAGCTTTTTGTCCACCAGAAGCCCCAAGTCCTTTTCCATGGGGCTGCTCTCAATAAGTTCTTCTCCCAGTCTGTACATATAATTGGGATTGCAGCAATGCAAGTTTAACTTTGTGCACCCGACCTTGTTGAACCTCATTAGGTTCACATGGTTCTACTTTTCAAGCTTGACCAGGTTATTTTGGGTGGCATTCTTTCCTTATGATCAGCCTTCAGACTTTATGTACAGTTCCATCAAGATCCTGGGATGTGTGTCATTGGGTCCCATAGACCTGTATACATTAGTCTTATCAGGCAGTCTCAAACTTGCTGTTACGCTACAGCAGGAGGAATTTTACTCCTCCAACTCTCACCTAGAGCTTCAATGGCATGAGAGATGTGCGAAGCCTATGAGGACATAGGGAGCTGCGTACAAACATGCTGAAGAACTTTACAATAGGGATGATGGAGCACTGTAGCAGGTTTTCCAGACAAGCTGTGGAGCCTCTTTCTATGGAAATATTCAAGACCTGGTCTGGGTGCCTACCTGTGAGACCTGTTGTAGGGAACTTGCTTCATTGCTAGGAGGAGGGTTGGACTCTGATCTCTTGAGGTCCTTTCCAACCCCTCCAATTTTGTGATTCTGTGAAGATTGAGGCCAGGAACTTGTTGAATACCTCAGCCTTCTCATGACTGTTGCAATTTCTTCCTTCTCATTTATCACGTTCCTTGACCATTGTCTTCTGAGCAGTGTACCTGTAGAATCTCTTGTTATTTTACCATATCCTTTGCTAAGGTCAATTCCGTCTGTGGCCTGACTTTCCTGATCTCATCTGTTCATGTCTGGACAGCATCCTCTTATTCTTCATGGGTCACACGTCCCTATTCCCATCATACAGTCAATCTTCCCTAGCCTGCAAGATCTGTTAACTGCCCTTGTAACTGTTAATGTGATGCTCATGTGAGCATCTTACCCATTCATATTTGTGTTACAAAGGGTTTTTTTTCTAATGCATGCTTGTCTTCTCTTTCTGACCATTAATCCTGCTGACTTTCATTTGACATGTTAGCTATAAAATCTGGTAACTCTGTTGCTCCAGGTAACAGCACAGGATGTACGCAAGGAAAGCCCTCTTCTTTTCAAATTCCGAGCCAAGTTCTACCCGGAAGATGTGGCTGAAGAGCTGATCCAGGACATCACACAGCGCCTGTTCTTCCTCCAAGTGAAGGAGGCAATTCTGAATGATGACATTTACTGTCCTCCAGAAACAGCTGTCCTACTGGCTTCCTATGCTGTCCAGTCCAAGTACGGCGACTTCAATAAAGAAGTGCACAAGTCTGGTTACCTTGCTAGTGACAAACTGCTCCCACAGAGGTATGAGAATTTGTTCAGTTTTAAAACATCTTTGTGCTAAGATGTTTGGAATTTTTTTGGAGTCTTAACCAGAGAATTCATAATAAGATATAGCCTTGGGCCTCTCTTAAAGATCTTATTGCTGCTGAGGAAATTGTAATTGGAAGTAGTTGGAGAAGCTCTAATAAAAGCCTGATAACGTAATGGTACAAGGAGAAACATAGCTGAATACAGCTTGTTATTTGTCAGAAGCCTTGAATACTCTACTGATGTGTCTCTGCCTAGCCTTATAAACCCATATTTCTGGAAATGTTTTTTGTGTTGGGAGCTGTGATGTCCATGGAGTATATAATATAGCCTTGTTCTGGACCGATGTGGTGGTGTGTGCATAAATGCAGTGGCTGGTCTCAAAAATCCAGTGTATTCTTTCTAGAGTTCTGGAGCAGCACAAGCTTAACAAGGACCAGTGGGAGGAGAGGATCCAGGTGTGGCATGAAGAACATCGAGGAATGATTAGGTAACTGATGCATGTGAAACTGCTGTATTTAAGGTAGTGTGATATATGCTAGTGTATACTGTATGAAGTCGCACAGTAATCTGCAGCTTGCTCCAGCATGAGTTAGCATTCATCAGTTTATTCTACTGAGAGTAACTAGGCCAATGTGCCTCTGACCTTGATAGTCCATGTAACTGGCTGATGTTAGTAAAAACAAAACTAGACTTGCAGAGCTTGTTCACTCTTGTCTTCAAGGATGATTCTTGGAATCTTTGGCTAGTCTATTGCTGTTCTATCTGTGTAGATAGTCAGCACCTTCTTGATGAAATGGCTTATTGACTTGATAAAGAATATCTTTCTTTTTGCATAATACAGAGAAGATGCTGTTTTGGAGTACCTAAAAATAGCACAGGACTTGGAAATGTACGGTGTGAACTACTTCAGCATTAAAAACAAAAAGGGCTCTGAACTCTGGCTAGGTGTAGATGCTCTTGGACTCAACATTTATGAGCAGAATGACAGGTAATAAATCCACTCTCCTCATCATTGACTTCTTGTCCTTTTCAGTGTAAAGGTAGTTAAAAGTAATTGTTAATCTGCTCTGGTATTTTGCTCTTATACTGAACTCTGCTGCTTATGTGTCATTCTTAGTTGTGTTTTTGCTAGAATGCCCCATAAAATGTGCTGCTTAGGAGCAAAACCCATGAGACACTCAAATCTTACCACGCTAGTTTTACCTCTATCCTTTGTCTTCCTGATGTGGATGCATTCTTCAGCTGTTCTCCATTTAATCAAACAGGATTGGAAAACTGCTCCCTAGTTCATTTATCTGACCAGTTTTATTTGCTTATTCCAGTCAACCTGAGAGTACTGAAATGTCACGAGGGCAGGTTTTTCAGAATTTTGAGCTTTATGTTGTAGTTCAGGAATTTGAAATGCTGTGGGACTTATATCTCCTCTGTTTTCTGCTTCTGCAGGCTAACACCAAAAATTGGATTCCCTTGGAGTGAAATCAGAAATATTTCTTTCAATGACAAGAAGTTTGTAATCAAGCCTATTGACAAGAAAGCACCAGTAAGAAGCAACAGCCATATTAAAGCTTTTGAACTTTCCGTTTCTTCTTAGATGAATTGTAGAATGGTTTGGTTTGGAATGGACCTGAAAGGTCATCCAGTTCCACCCCTGCTGCTGTGGTCAAGGTTGCCCTCTCACCAGATCAGGCTGCCCAGGTCGCATTCAGCCTGGCCTCCAGGGAAGAGGCACCTACACTTCTGGGCAGTCTGTATCAGGGCTTAACCATCCTTTGAGTAAAAGAATTTCCTTCTAGCATCTAAACCAAATCTTCCCTCTTTTAGTTTAAAGCCATTCTCCATTGCTACTGGATCATATAAAATGAATGATCAGTTGTCTGTGGTTTTACTTATTTTAGTTGTAAATATTATTTTTATCAGTAACATCAGTAGTTGCTTAAGTAGTTCTCTACTACCAGTTTGGGGCAGTATGTCAAGAATGTATTGAACTGCAATAAGGGGATAGATGGAAATTGGTTCAGGCTGGGAAGGGAGGCATTTGTTCACTGCAACTTTATGCTGTCCAAAGTCAGAGAGAGAGAGGCTTTTTGCTTAGGGTTTCTGGTTCTCCTACAACCACTTTAATTCTCTGATTTGATTAGGGGATCTGAAGCACCTGTGCTAACTGTTGTATGCTTCCATTGACTTTAGTAGCATGGGATCATCTTTCACTGTGTTTTACTTGAAGCTGAAGCTTTGCATCATTTTGTAGGGTGCACTGGGAACATTTTTTCCTTATTTATTTGAATGAACATTATTTAAGTTAATTTACTCTTTGAGGCCTGTTAATATCCTGTGTCAGCTGATACCTTCTGTTCTTCTGGTCATTCTTGGGTTTTTTTCAGCTGCTTGGAAGCATTTTCTTGCTGCTGTTTTTGTTTTAACAGAATTAAGTTATTTTTCCTTAGGACATAATTTTTAACACTCTGTGGCATAAGAGAAAAACTTACACATGATCTGGATGACCAGATTTAAAGAATTAAGTGGTAATAAAAGTGGAGGAAGGCACAGCCTCAGTGTTCCTAGTAAACTCACCCATGGTTGGACATGATTGTATTTCTAATGAAACAAAAGAGCCAAGCTGCTACATACTGTGTACTACAAGTGCTTTACGATGATACCAAGTAGACTGTAACAGGAAGTTAGGCAATTCTGCCCTGTGTCAATTTATCATCTTGAATTTCACTCCTGAAAGATGGAGGTCTGTCTACTACCAGCGGTGAATTAGACACTGATCAGAAATGCTGGCTAGCAGTATTAGAAAGTTGAGTTTTGGTGTGTGTTGCATACATACAGAGTTTTACCACACCGAAGGAACAATTTTAATGCTGCCTTTTTCTTGTCCCAAGGACTTCGTATTCTATGCCCCTCGGTTGCGGATTAACAAACGAATCCTGGCACTTTGTATGGGAAACCATGAGCTCTACATGCGCAGACGTAAACCAGATACCATTGAGGTGCAGCAGATGAAAGCACAGGCTCGGGAAGAGAAGCATCAGAAACAGATGGAGAGGTCTGTGCAAGGTTCTGAGTAACCCGGGTTTGGTTGATCACTCCACAGTAGTATCATGTGCTAGATAGAAGTGCTGGCAGCATGCATGTTAACCTGCTTGAGCCAAGAATGGGAAGACTTCTTTCTGCTTCAGTATATCTAATGAGATGATGGAAGTGGCTCTCATCACAGGTGTGGTTTACCACCACTTCCTTGGAATTAAATGCGTGCCCATCTATTTGAAAGGGTTAATCTGAATCTTGATATAAGGATCTTCAGTTAGTGGAAGTTCATAATAGTAATGCTACTAAGGTGAATGCCAGCAGAGCAAGCTTTTTGTTTCTTCACTTCACTTTAAAAGGAGCACATATGGAGTAAAGATCATCAGCTGAGTGATCTAGCGCATTTCTCTTGTGTGCTTATAGTTTCACTAGAAAGAACTACAGACTACAGCTGTAAATTATAAATTGCATTATGACTTTCCCCATTATCAGAGCCCTGCTGGAGAATGAGAAGAAGAAGAGGGAATTGGCAGAAAAAGAGAAGGAGAAGATTGAACGTGAGAAGGAGGAGCTGATGGAAAAACTGAAGCAAATTGAGGAGCAAACCAAGAAGGCTCAGCAAGGTAATAGAAAATACTCCAGTATTTCATTAGATGCACAGTCTGGGTAGTCTGAATGAGAAAGATTCAAATAATAAAGCTAGGAGCATCTCCAATTCATTCAGATTCCAGTATTTTGTGCTGGCTAATGTTAAGGCCCTAGTTTAGCCTTCTGAAGCTGAATGCAACTCAGCAGATGCAAATACTCTGAAGTATGGCTTGTATTTAAGAGGTGGGGGGCATCCAAGCTGCCTCTTTGGCAGCTAGATTCTCTTTCAGTTGTCCACATGCCAGCTGGAAGCTTTATCTTAGCACATCTGTAGAGGAAAGAGTCAGAAAGTGTAGCGAGGGTCATATCAACCAGTGCCCTGGCTTTTACAATCTAGTTGCTTGGCCAGCATTACTTTGCAGTGCCCAATTGGAATGCAGCATGTTTTTCTGTCTTTAAGGATGTCATTTCGAGATGGATACTTCCCACAAATCAATCAGCAAGTAATCTGCTGGCTTGCAGGTCTAGCTCTTCATCTTTAATCTCCACTTGCAATGTAAAGTGGAGGAAAGGGCATACATAGTTGCTTGAGTCTGACCATTCTCTCTATAGGAAAGATTCCATCCAGGAGGTAGGGATAAGGGCACTCTCCTACTACCTTTTTTGCTTTATTTCTCTTCAAATGTACTCTGCTATTCCTTCAGAACTGGAAGAACAGACCCGTAGAGCCATGGAGCTGGAGCAGGAAAGAAAGCGAGCTCAGGAGGAAGCAGAAAAACTGGCTAAAGAACGTAGAGAAGCAGAAGAGGCAAAGGAAGCCCTGCTAAAAGCATCCCATGATCAACAAAAGACCCAGGAACAACTGGTGAGTGGGTTAGCTGAAAATGTGGTAGGGCAGTGACATTGTAGGGGTCTTTTTAAGGTCATAGAACAAATTAAGCTATGAATATAGTGAAGAAGTATGTTTTAGTTCTTCAGGATAGACATTAAAGATGATGAATTAAGATTTAAATATGCATGTTTGTATCTATTTGTGCAGTACACTGAGACTGATTTTTTTTTTTTAACTTACAATAGTATCTGATGCTGAGAACAGCATGTAGAACTCATTAATTGCTTTCCTTCGCTTGAGTTCAAAGATGTGAGTACTGTAGCTGTATTTGGAGGAGGAAAAAACCCTCAACAGAACCCTTTCTTTTTTTCCACTTGCATCATTTAGATATCAGTGGGACTGAAGTATCCTCCTTACAAGAAATGTGTTAGAGATACTGTTTTTATTCAGAACTTGGATTAATGCTTCATTTAGGAAGTACTTCTCCTTTGTCCCCACTTTCCTTTGCAGGCTGCTGAAATGGCAGAACTCACAGCTAGGATCACACAGCTGGAATTGGCCAGGCAGAAGAAAGAGAGTGAGGCCCAGGAGTGGCAGCAGAAGGTAAAGCAGAATCTGAAGTAGCAGCAGTAATTTCTGTGGAGTTAATCTTCATTTTGTTTTGTGACCTAAACTACTACATTAGAATACTGCCACTAGACGAGGTGTCTGCAAGCTGAGGCTGTTGCAAATATGCAGCTTTATGGTTTTTTGTTTTGCTTTTTTTTTTTGTCTTGTAAAATGAGTGCTGCATTCTAACTCCAGCTTGGAATAGTTTGATTAGACCTATAGGTCATTTTCCATGGGTTATAACCATTCCTTAAATCTCTGATGTGTAAGCCAGCAGAAAATGTTGCTAGTGACTGTGACTGAGTAGTTTTGGAACACACCGCTTCAGTGTGAAAGAGGTGTAGGGCTCTTAAGTAGCGTTTCTGTGTGCTTCTGCAAGAAGTTAGTCACATCTGAGTTGCACAGACTAAGTGTGGTCTCTTATTGCAGGCACAAATGGTGCAGGAGGACCTAGAAAAGACCAAAGAGGAGCTGAAGACTGCCATGAGCACTCCTCATGTCACTGAGCCAATGCACTCTGAGAACGAGCATGATGATGAGCAGGATGAAAATGCAGCAGAAGCCAGTGCTGAGCTTCGATCAGAGGCCACCATCAAGGACCGCAGCGAGGAGCAGCGTACCACTGAAGCAGAGAAAAACGAACGAGTGCAGAAACACTTGAAGGTAAAAAGTTTGCAGCCGAGTGTATGTGCATGGGCATTGCTTCTATTCATTTTGTCACTGTGACTGTGAGCTTTTACAGGAATTCCTTGAAACGGAAGGAATAAAAGAAGGGAGTAGTGAATAGTGAGTGAAGGAAAAGGTGATCATGACTTGATTGGATTGCTGCTTACCATTAGGGAAAAGGGGCAGAACTTGTCTCTAGTTCATTTCTATTTCATTGGAAACAGCAAAGTCTTTTCAAGCAATGCCAAGAGGCAGCATCTGTGAGATAGAGTGTGCTTGTGTGAGTCTTGCCAGCTACCTGACAGCTGTTCAGAGTCCAGCTGAAATGAATTGGAAGGCTTGGTTGAATTCTTATTCTGCAATAGGCTGTAACTGTCCTGTCTGAACAGATTGCACTGCGAAATGCTGATAGTAGCTGCTACAGCTCAGCGTGTGTGGGGGAAGAGGGGGTAGGAATGTTTTACCTCCTCCTCATAAGGAATTCCACTCTTCAGGTATTGATGCTTAGAAAGTGGTAGTAGCTTGTTTTCTGTAGGTTTTCTTTTAAAATGTCTTCTGGCTGCATGGCTTGGAACAGACTTGGCTTGTTTTGTGTCATGCTGTGTTGGTCATGCATAGGTAGAATGGCAGAGGTGTCCTCTGTCATGCACAACGCATTTCTTCTGTGGTAGAAGGCTAGTAGTTGCTTGATTTCTGCAAGGCAATCTTGAAGTCTGTAGGTATTTCTCCACTGGACTTTCTCCTTCCTCTGAAATAAATTAGTGACAGTCTTTCTTACTGTGCTGGACAAAGATAAGTAAGGTGGAAGCACCTGCAGTTTACTATTTTCAAATATAGAGAAAAAATATTTGCAACTTCCACACAATTGCTTAGGTTGGAAAGGATCTCTTGATAATCTAGTCTCACTGTTCTGCTCAAGAAGGCTCAGCTGGAGAAGGTTGCCCAAGACAGTATGCAGTTGAGCTTATTTGTTTCCTGTGTAGGAGGATTAACAAGGAACTTCCTTGCCTGGCACTGAGGTTCTGGCTTGGCTAACCCACTGCTGTCTTTGTCCCCTTCACTAGGCTCTTTCCTCAGAGTTGGCAAACGCTCGGGATGAAACCAAGAAGACGGCCAATGATATGATCCACGCTGAGAACATGCGGCTGGGCCGAGACAAGTACAAGACCCTCCGTCAGATTCGGCAGGGCAACACCAAGCAGCGCATTGATGAGTTTGAGTCCATGTAAACTCTCCCCTGCGCTTGCCGCTCTGCAGTCCCTTCTCCCTTCTTTCTCATCCTCTCCCATCACTCACTCATAATCGTGCTGTGCTGGAACCACTACAGAAGAGCGACCATGGTCTTATTTATAGAGTTTTTGGTAAATGCTGGAGTTCAGCAACAGAAGAAAGAATGACACTTGCATATTCCTGGGGTAGCTTGGGAAAGCTAACTTGTATTAGGGCAAATCTGAAATTTTATGACTTTGGGTAAAGTCGTACTGCATTTAGTTTTGCTTACTGAAATGGCTGTGTAACTGTTCTCTCTCATTGAGTAGGGAGGCCAGTAGATACTTTCTCTGAACTATATAAAGTGCTAATAGTTTGACATTGTGCCTTCCTACTAACTTGCACAAGCTTCAGTATTAAGCTCTGAGGCCAGGATCTAAATTTCTGATGTCATTAAGGGTCTGAATCACGTTGTTGAGATGGAGAACCTGGAGTCTGGGAAGAAGGGTTGGAGGTAGAATGTGGACTTAGTTTCTAAAAGACCAAAGCTTTTGTCCTTTAAACGTAAGCAGACCAAACAGAATCTGTGGCATTCCTGCTGGTGTTACCTTTATTGTTTAAAGATGAAACATGAAATTTCCTAATCACAAGGAGGCCTTTGAAATATTTTCACTGATATGGGATATATTGGATGCCTTGACTTCCAGGCTTTCTGGAATAAGTTTTCCTCTAGGTAAATGGCTTAAATGGCTTTGTTTGCTGTTATTTTGTCTGACTTGAATGTAACTAGTGAGGCAGAGATAGCTGAAGAACACTGCCTTTCATCTTGAGGTCACCACTGAAAATGGAAAGGCGTAAACAGAAATTCAAACAACTGAAAACTCCTGTAACTATATTTCTTTTGCTGAAGCAGTACATTTCTAGTCAGATGGGGTGACTTCAGTTTTTTTCCATGAGGCCTTTTTAGCATGTAGTCATTGGTGCCTTATGACTGTATGGATCTACTGTAGCTCAGATGTCTTTGTTTAAAATAGATACACTCATAAAAAGTGAAGAACAGCCGAGGACCAAAACTGTTTTGAATCTGGGTCATGTAGAAACAAAGCCGTAGCTGTGTCTTCCTGGCTTCCAGCAGCATTTCAAGGGAGAGGGTCATGAGATTTGTCCAATTGTTGCCTTAATCTTCACTAGCATTTTGCCAGATTCCTGGCTCGAGTGTGTGTGTGTTTTTTTTTTCTCCAGAAGGATGCTTTGCCTTTTTGTAGTTTCTAGTTCAGAGGGTTCTGTCTCTTAAGAGGAGGACAGTGGTGGCTGTGGGGAGACTCGTCCTGTGTTAATTGTTGTAATCACTTTCTATCCATTCCTACCAGGCTACCAGGGTCCTCCTTGTCATTTCTAAGGAGGGAACAGCCATGTATGCTCAGGGTTGAATTGGATTTAGCCTTGATCCTTTATAGAAGGAAATGTGGACCCCTAGAAGAGGCCTCTTAACGATGGATTTCCTCTACAATGGTGTCTTCATTTGCTTTGCCCTTCTTAGTACAGCTTGTTCCTATAGAAAGTAATGGGGCTAGCCTATGATTTATTTTCTTGCCTAATGTGATTCTAAATTAATGTGATTCTAAATCTTTCTCAATTTTGTGGATGCCCTCTTTATCTGTATGGTATCACTGCTCATGATGATTCACATCTGAATGCTGAAGTGTTTTCAGCTCCTATTATTATAAGCAAAGGAGGAATGTGCCAAAAAAGAAATGTCCACATCAGTGTTAATGAACTGCAGTATTTCCTTAACAACTCCTTGGGCTGCTAGAAACAACCTCACCAGTGTTGTATTTTTTTGGAAGCAATACATGTCTGTGAGTAATCCATGGAAATACCAATCAACCAAACTATGGTTAGAAGTTTAGTGTGCTACTTCTGAACATCCTGATTAGTGGTATGGGAGCCCCCTTTACCCTCCTGGACAGAACATGGGAATGCAGGAAGCTTTTGGCTGACCAAAAACATGTGCTCCAGTACTTTGAAAGTCACAAATGGAAGATTGCAGTTAAATTTGTCAGAACGGATTTGCATATTTCTGTACTGAAGGGTTATTGGCACTGACTCTATGCGAGTCTCATTACTGGTGGAGCAGACAACCATTACACTTCTCTTCTGGTGCTTTAAAGCTGGTTCTCAGCACTTGTGCTCTGTCCACAGCAACTATTGGTGCATTTGCAGGGAAATAAAGCCCTTATTACATTAAAACAGTTTCCTAACAATCTGATATATAGTGCCTGAAATATGTGTTCAAATAATAAAACAGTGAACCTTTCTGCTCACACAACATTGCTGAACTCGTGTTACGATGCTGGCATATCTTGTTTATAAGGTTTGGTGGTTGTTTTTTTTTCTTAAATCATTCTAGTTCCAGTTGGTCCAATATAGAATAGAACAGCCTGTGCCAGTGACCTGACCTCACTCTTTGTAGTTGTTTCAGCTATGCCTTCTTCTTAAGCAGTATTATATTCCAGTGGTATCTAATGATATTTGATTTCAATACTTCTAGCTATGCACAATTAGAAAACTAGAAAATATTAGTTGTGGGATGGAGGATGTTTATGGTCCCCTTCCCTTGGAAATATATACTGTATTATAAAGAAATGATATTTTGCAAGAAAACTAATGTAAGAAGCTTTCAGTATTACAGTGAGATTTGTAGGCATGTTTTTTAATTTTTATTTTTCAGATTTGTTTTTCTTCCTTTCCATGTCCCAATTCAAATGGATAACTACTCCTCATGGGGGTGGAGGGAGGGAAGAAGAAATACCTTATCAAATGTTTGCCTGGCTTGATTTATCTCTCTTTTTTTTTCTTCTATTTTTTGTTGTTGTTGTCGCTGTAAATTATTATTTTTTTGACCAGCCTTTTTACTGGATTGTAATAAAACACATTTTCTTAGGGTTATGGAGTAATTCATGGATCCATGTGGTTATTTGCAAATAGACCCTTGATATTAAGGCTTTTTTTTTTCCTGTTTGGGAGGAGCTGTTAAAATCCATACCCTGTTCTTCCTACAGTGCCAATAAAGTTTAGAGAAATTCAGCAGATGGTGTCTGGATGATTGCTTAAAGTTTGCTTTCAGTCTAGCAGTGTGCTTCCTAGTTAGATGTCTGACACATGACCCATAGAAGGTCAGCCTGAGTGTAAGTTTTAATTTAATGGAGGGTAAATTTGTATCGCATTTAACTTCTGCAGCCAGAGGAGGAGGAAAAATCGTTTCAAGAATTTGCCAGCTGAACACCTGGTGTGTAGGGCTGTGCCCAGGCCCTGGAGGAATCTAGCAACAGGTGAGTTTGTAAGAAGGTCGCCAGCCTTGGCCTTGCTGCACGTCTCACCTGTGTTTGTCTGAGCCTGGCCCTTCACTGTTGATTTCAACCTCATTTGTTTCACAGCTACTTTGCTCTGGCTTTCTTTCTGTTTGTGTTTCCTAAGGATGCAAGACAGGGCCCAGTGATGGAGGAATATGGCCACTGCCAACTTTCTGCTGATGAACTTGATCTTCATTTGTGTCTGCTTTTCATGTGGTTGTTAAGAGGGTCTTTGCATAGCCTCTATCTCCTGCTTGCTGCCCTGTGAAATAAGGCAAGAGATCTAAAAAAAAACCTGCTGGTACTCAGATTTGCTACTGTAGGAGAAACTTGGAGCAATGGAAACTTCTGAAATCTATATTGGCTTTGGCATGGATACAGTTTTTGTAGGATGGTCTTCCTCATTCCTTCCAGGATTCAAATAAACCCAAACAAGACCAGATGAACTGTAATGTCCACTTGAACACTGCTGTAGTGCATTCTTCAAGAGAAAGCATGCTGATCTGTAAATGCAGCTCTCACAAATGGGTTTCTATCATTTACTACACTTGCTTCTAGGTGGGCAATACTTTCTCACTTACGCTTATGTTTCTGGAGGATCTGGAGACTCCAAAATAGTGTGAAGCTGCATCAGGGTTAGATACTAGGAAAAGGGTTCTTCACCTGAGGGTATTCAGGCATGGAACAGGCTCTCCAGGGCAGACTTCATGGGCCCCAAGCTGCCAGAGCTCAAGGTGCATTTAGACACTGCTCTCAGATGTGGGATTGGAATTTTGGGTGGAGCGAGGGCTTGGACTCAGCGATCCCTGTGGGTCACTTCAAAGATGTTCTGTGATCATCCTAGTCTATCTTTAGACAGGTTGAGATACTAAACTGAATTTATTCCATGTTTCATGTCAGCTGACCTGGGAAGTTTCAGACTTCATGAATCTTGCTGTAGTGGCTCTTCATTGAGAAGGTGCGTCTATGAGCTGTGTTCCAACTTCTTGCAAAGCACAATAATGAAGTGTGTTAAGCATAGACAGTTGTGTGGCAACTGCCTGAAAATCATGAAGACAGGATATCTCCTACTGAGGAAGCACAGAATAACAGGTACAACTAGTTTTCTCCGTGCCATTCAGTGTGACTGTTCTGTTGAGTGCTCCTCAGCTATGTATAACAGTCCTGAGCATGCAGTGTAACTAACTTCCACCTATAATCGGAACGTGGCAACTGGCAGAGAACAGTGTAATTCATCTATGACTGATGTCAACACAGAACTGCTGCATAGTCATGTGCAAGTTGAATCCATGTGTGATGTCAGACATTTCCTTGCAGGAAAATCAGCTCATCTCTAAGAAAAGGCTCTGGGCTGCAGTGCGTATTCAGAGTTAGGCTAAGGCTAGCTTTTGTCTTGCAGGTCTGCAGCTTGGGGACGATGATGCAGGTTGCTGCTACAAAGTAATGCTTGGATGCACACCTGGTTCAGTGTGATAGCTCCCTCAAAGCTACTAGTAATTTTAGGATTGATATTCTCAAATAGCACAATGAAGCTGTTACAGAGAACAGAACAACAAGGAGAAAGGAAAGAATAAGGTGAGTCTGAATAAAGGAGTTTTGGGAGTTCTTTCCAGGATCATCTTTTAAGAAGGCATTTCCTCTGTGTAAGTGTTAATATCGCTCTTAGAGCTTTCTAGTGAGCAGAGTTAGTTGGAAAATTACAAATCCCTGTCACTGTTACTGCCTCCAATTGTGCTCTTTTCAAGAAATACAAGCCAGGGTTGCTCTCTAGTCAAGAGGGGAGGGTCAAGGGAATGTGGAATATCTTGCTCTTGACTTGGAAGGTTATAGAGAAGCTCATCTGTACTCCACATGCAGACATAGTCCCTTCCCATTCATCTCTGAAGCATCCTTGACTGACTAAAGGAGAAGCTGCAAATAAAGGCCTTGCTCGGGTACTGTAACTTGTAGTGGCCTTCACCCAGCCAAGCAGCTGCATTGCCAGAGGTGGCTGTTGTCAAAGAGCTCTGTTAAATTCATTTTGCTTCCCTGATGCAGCATTAGCTCATCTTTGGTGATAGCACTGCACTCTTGCTTCCAGTGGTGAGAATTTGTCCCTTGATTCATTTGTTTTCGGCAATTCTGAAGTTGCTAAACCTTAGAGAAAGGCCAAAGCAAGAAAATGGTAGTCTTGTTTGACAGATATACAGAGAGGCATATTTAAAGCCTTCCCCTGAACCCTTTGGCCCCTACTGGTCAGTGCTTTCAGAGACTTGAGCTCACTTGGTGTAAGCGCTTTGTAGGTTTGAGTTCAGAACATCAGTTTTGGGGCAGCCCTCTTTACCCGGTCCTGCGGGCTTGGAGAAAGCAGAACAAGCACAATTTGTCCTGTTTGCTTATAGAGCACAACAGAGAGTGATGTATTTCTTCCAAGGTAGAACAGAGCTGTGGCTGAGTCTGGCGATTTCATGGAAATCAGTGCAGACTTTTTGCACTACCTTCGTGTGGCCAGACCACCTGCCCTACTCACAAACCTCTAAACAATAATGGAGCCAATTCTGTACTGGGACAGAATGCCAGTCTTCAACTTTGTTATGACTCATTGAGCTGTTTGCTCTGTTCCTTTCTTCTGTCTGGACTACTTTACTTTGCGAGTTCCGCTGTTAAGAACCTGAATTTTATCAAGTATCAGTTTTTCACTGGAGAAAGCAGGTGACAATATGCTGACCTGGTTGGCATCTGTATACCTTGCAGCTCACACATGGGTAGGGACTGGGACAGTTTCTTCTGTGTATATAATTTCTATCCCTTCCCCTTTCTGTCCTTGCGGAAGCTCAGGTGCAGGAAAGGTTGCCTCTGCTGATTCTTCCTCCCTCTCCCTCTGAGGATGGACTTATTCCTCCCTTAATTTATCAGATATTCATTAAATGGTAGTGAAGTTGCTCTCACAAACCCAGAACTGCATACCTATGTACATTAATAACTACAAGATTAGATCATGACTGTCCAACTGCAGTCTCTTGGAAGCTACAAAGTTAACAGAAGAATTCTTCAGGTTTGCACAGTGTGTCTACCCAAAGGAACAAGTGTAAGTCTGCCTGGTGCTGACCATGCCTGTGTATTTGGAAGCCCTGAAACCAACTATGGTTGGAGGAGATGGAGATAGAATCCAGGAAGCCTAAGCATGCTTCTGGCTCTGGAGGGCTGCAACACTATTGCATGAAGTCTTATTGGACCAATGCTGTGCTGATATCAATCTGTTTTCTACTTATGCAACAGTCAGGGGTGGGGGGGATAATTGCATCTCACAGATATTTTGGAAATTTTCTGTGAGGTCCCTGGACTGGGAGGAAAGAAAATTGTCCTTTGGTGCAGAGGAAACTGGGTAATGTATTTCAGGCTAGAAAATCTCTTCATTCCCAGTGTGTGCTAAGGTGTTACTAGACGTGTCAGCACAGCCACTGCGCTGATGGCAGCCTGACCTGCTAGTGAGCAAGAAGAGGCATGTGCATGTGTGTTTGCTGGTGGAAACTTGACTTTTACCAAATTTCTATGAAACAGAGTTAAGGATTCACTTCAGCTATGCCTGTCATTCCTGCTGTGTGCTGACTTTCAAAGCAACATTTTCAAGGGCCTTTTTTTTTTTTTTTTTTAAGTGGGGATTTTTAAATCTCCTCTATCTTTCTTTTCTCTTTCCGTGGGATGGGTGGTTATTTAACGGCTTTCTATTTGTATCCTGGACTAAATGAAAGAAGTTTTGCTCCGGAAATTCTGGGTTTACTCTTAGGCATGCTGCTAGATAGAATTGGAAGGAAGAAGTAAGGGAATAAAAGAACAAAAAAAAAAACCAACCCAAAATAACAATAACAACAACAAAAAAACACCAAAAAAAAAAAAAACAACCCTGACACCAACAGACTTTTTTCCTCGCTGTTACAAAGACCTTAGCACAGGATATCTGAGCCCAGCTTAGGATGTGGTTCCATCCCACCCTATCATGGCTACTTCTGTTTTCACAAGAAAACTGCTGCTTGCCTCCCTGCAGGATTGGGTGTGATGATCTCAGGCCTGGCTTCCCTCTCAATGCTCTCCTCTCTTCCATCTGGTGGCATTGACCTGTCACTTGCTGTGCTCTGAGTTCCTGGCAAGGAGAGAGGTCAGTGTCAGGCAAACACACAAATGTCCTTGCTGTGAAAACTGCTGCACATACATCTAGTTTATCTCTTGTTTCAAGGTTTGCTGGAGATAAGATGCTTTGTGGTTTGTTTGTTTGGATCACTGGTTTGCCTGCTGCACCTCTTGATGGTGCCTGAGAAGTGAAGGCAGGATTGGGCACAGGATGTGAGTGCATGGAGAGAGGAACGTTTTACAGCCAATTCTCATTCTTATACTTCAGATTTTTTTCTCCTGTATGGAGTGATTAAAAAGTCAAATTTCAAAAGTTGTTGTCTATGCCGGCTAGTATTATATTATTTCATTAAAAAACTTGATTAAATCAAGCATCCTAATGAATGGTGAACTGTTAATTGGAGGGACAATTCAGGATCCTGAGATGAGAGCTGTTCTCACACTCCGCAAAAAACAAACAAACAAAAAAACCAACAACCAAAACTGAAACTGTCCACTGCAGAGTTTTGTTTCTCAGGCAAAGTGATTTACCCTGGAGCAGAGCAACACTATACTGATGTCACTGTTTCAGGAAACAAACTGGAAGATTCCTCTTGGAAGCTTCACAAGCATGAAATATCAGTTACTGTGAAATGTGATCCCTATCTGTGCCTCTGTGGCACTTTTCAACGGAGAATTTAACAACTGAAAGAACCGTGGCTGCTTTTTGTGACTGTCCTGGGAAGTGTATGAATGAATATTCGCATTCTGCAGCTGGGAGCCTGCAGTACTGGGGAACGATGTAGCCAGATGTTGTCCATGTCAGGAGGATGTCTGAGTAAGTCTGCCTTTCACCCTGTTTGTGTAAGAACTGATTGGGCCCCCATGTGTCTTCACAAGGCACCATCATTCAGGCCTTCAGTGTTTCCATTACTCTACTTTTCCAATAGTCAGTTTGTTACCATCTCCCTGTCCCCTAATATAGTTAGACACTGCACTGAACACAGCTCCTAAAATTTGGATTTGGGGCTAGTTTCTGTAAGGGAAGTCTGGAAGGCAAAACAAGAGGAATCTTCCTCGGGGACTGATGTGAGGAAATGATGCTTGTTACAGTACTTTGCTCAGTACCCCTGAGTGCTCTGTTACAACCACAAGTGGGCTGGAGAGCAGCAAGATTCATGCACAACTCCTCCCGCTCCTCCTCCCTCCCCAGAGAGGCTGTCCTTACTTTTTTCTATTCCCCCCTCCTCCCCCCCACCATATTTATAACTCTTACTCTAGCTTGCCTTGCAACAGAAGACATCCCAGGAAGCACAAAGAAAGACCTCAGTAGCATGATAGCTCAAGGCATCTCGGGGCTCATGCGACCCTTGTTAAGTGGACTGAAAGTGAGTAAAACTCACTTTGTTTATTTCTGTGAGGTGACTGGGCAGAATTGCTTACGATCAAAGCAGATGTCAAGAAGAGGCTTCAGCTCCACATGCAAGCTCCAGTGTTCTCCTGGGGAATCGAGGTGAGTAAAATCCTTACCTTACCTGTATATCGCTGTACTAAGAAGTAGCTTTTCAGAAGGGAAATGCATTGAACTCTACCTTGGCCCCCACGTAAGGAAACTGGTGCAAAGCATGATCTGTAAGGGAGAGGTGGATAAGGCTACGTAGATGTTGATCTGGGATGAAGATTGTTTAGGGAACTGATCTGTGAGAGGTACTGCTCCCCTGTTTCTGGAAGCTTCTGAAGCCATGGAGGCCACAGCTAGTGCCTGGATTCTGAACATGAGTATATCATATGGCACATGAATTCATGCACTATCGAGGTCCCGTTAGGGACCATGAGGCCTTTGAGGAATGGGGATGGTAGGCAGGTCAGGTCAGGTACCTGGGCATCCTGCTGTGCAGAGGTGAGATGATCACTGAGGTGCTCTGTGAATTGCAGATTCTCTCGCGTTTCTTATCTCTGCTGCTGTAAATGCAGAGTGGGGAACTGATGTTGTCTGCCACTCTAGGAAGCAAAATACTCTCTCTAGACAATTGGAATCTTCACTGCCATGCCTTCCTGGAATGTTCTTCCTGACAAGATATGGGGAATGTAGATCAAATGCTCATCTGCTGAGATGGTGGCTGTAGGTGGCAGGGGCTGTACAAGACCACATCATCTATGTCCTGCGAGGCTTCCAAGTGCAGCGTCACATGCTGGGTTTTGCTGAGGCTGCTTACTTAGGTTAGGATATGCAGTTCATCATAGCGGTTGAGTTTGTGAGTTGAACTGTGCTGTGAATGTTGGTCAGAAGTTGCCCTGATCTGGAGGAGATGGAATGAATGCTGTTTCTCTTGTTTGTAGATGCAGTTTCCCCAACTCAGCATTAAGTGATGCTGATGGCCTTGTCCTTAATACTACTAGATTAAATTCTGTAGGCCATCAACACAACCAGTTATTTCTCCTAAGTAAGGATTGTATCAGCGCAGAGGACATTATTCAGCATGATTGTTCTGTAAGCTGGGCTGAGCATGTCTTATCACAAGAAAGCCCACTGTGATGGAGCTCACACAAGAAGTGAGCACTTTGTGAAGGAATAACAAGCAGAAAAGGAATGGTCAGCAAGCAATTCCCTTGGGAAGGGAGGGAGAAATGATGAGTGAATGACAACATCCTTTATCACTTACTATTATTAGATCCTGTGGGCTTCTCTTGTTATTACTGCATTTGGGATTAACATCCCAGGCTCCACAACATACCAGCCCAAGCAGAAGCATTGCAGAGCCTCTGCATTTATTCACTCACAGCTGAACATTTATTTTGAGAGAAGTGTGGTAAAATAGGGACTACTGTGGGTCAGCTCAGATTTGAACTGCTCTAATTTGTGCATTTCCACTGAGAACTGGCAACCTGAACGTCTTCTAATGTGTGTAGTGTAATCTCTCAGGTATTCAGCCAAAAGGCTTTGGCAGCGGATGTGCAGGAGAAGATGGGATCCTCTAATTTTTTTGCAAACTTTTCCTACAGCTCGGCAGATTCAGTGACAGTGCATTTTATAAATCGGGATGGAGAGCGACTCACAACCACGGCCAAAGAAGGGGAGAGTCTGCTGGAAGTGGTAGTCAACCAAAACTTGGCCATTGATGGATTTGGTAGGTGTTGGAGATGGATATGTACTCTAAGGAGTTCTGTGTCCAGTGGGTACTTGGGAATAGTACAACTGCACACACAGTACCGTGTTCTGAGGAGACCAGGAAGCACAGGGAGGATGCATACATTTCTCTCACTAATTTCATCATTAGCACTTGGCTATGCAGTCTGCTTTCCTTGAATTGCTTAAACCTGGGGTCTCAATTTGCATCTGCTTTCTGGCGAGGTTCTTGTCCCAACAGCTGCTCACTGGGCTGTCTTTCCACACTTACCGCCCTGCTGCCTCTGGAATTCCAGTGGCACATTGGTTGGAGCTGAAGTATGAGTATGAAAACCTTGATCCTCCCAGAGCAGAGGCAGGCTGAAGTCTGTCTTCATCTGCTGTGTCTTCTGGTGTCTCTTTTGACATGCTCTAGGTCTGCTAAACGACCTTTCCTCCCACTATTTCCAAAGATCATCTCTCTTTACCCGAATGTTTTTGCTGATTTGCTGCCACTTCTTCTACCAGGTGCATGTGAAGGGACATTAGCTTGCTCCACCTGCCACCTCATCTTTGAGAAAGATGCCTTTCAAAAGCTGGATGCCATCTCAGATGAAGAGATGGACATGTTGGACTTGGCATATGGACTCACAGAGACGTAAGTATACCTGCTGGCAGCAATAGATGCTCAAAACCCTGCTGAGACAGATTCTCAGCAACTGTTTGGCACCCATTTCCAAAGGAACAGGTTGTTCTATATTGCAACTGTGCCTCTAGAGCTGTTTTCTTTTGGGTCTTTTGCTTCTGTGAAAAGTAATCTTGGACCAAATATTCCAATGTGAGTTGGGAATTTCTTCCTTTACTGTGGAAACAAATGAACTTCACTTAATATTTTCTTCTCAGATCTCGCCTTGGATGCCAGGTGCGCATTAAGAAGTTGATGGATGGTCTGACAGTGCAGGTCCCCGTGGAAGTATCAGATATTAGGAATCAGCTGGAGGTTGGAAAGCAAAGCAAGCAGTAACCAGAAACAATTCCTTCACAACCTGCCTCCTTAGGTGTGGAGGGACACTTTGCTTTATGTTAACACCAGTACTCTGCAGCTGGTTTATGGTAGACAATAGAAGTCTGGTTTAGTATATATGACTGTTCAGCAAATCTCTTATTTAAACAAAGCTTAATGCTAGGATTTTCAACGTAAGTTTTAAATAAGTGTTCTCATGAGCACAACTGGATGAAAACATGTGGCTTTACAATTCTCTGGTAGCAGTAAACATTTGTATTGTGTGTAACTCATCTCCTTTTAAATTTAAGTATTCCACTATTCTATGTAGCTACTGGGAATTCTGTGATGTTCTATTACTTAACTGCAGAGCAGATCTTTCCCAATTTGGGAAGCTTGAGAAGAGGTAGCTGTTCCAAAAGCAAGGCTGTGCTACTTGGCTTGATGACATCGACAATCTTAGTCTGCTTAGCAGGAGCATTTGAATGCATGTCACTGAATTGTTATGTGCCATGATATGCTAATTTCTCTAAATAACACATTTTCTCATTAATGTATTGCAGCCGTACATAAAATAAAATCCTAATAATCAGGCTTTTAGGTCTGTAAATATGCTTTTCTTGTAACATCAGTCTGGTTGCAGTAGAACTAGTATAGGGAGAATTTAGATGTAGTAACCTACTGTCCCAGTTACCACTGTTTCCCCCTCCCCCCCCCCCCCCCCCCCTTGTTTTAGGTGGCAAGGTTGACATGTTCGCTCAGAATGGTGGAGAGAATCCATGACATGTAATCAAATGTAGCTGAAATGCCAAGTCAGAACCTGATGGAGCACCTGGTGGGAAAGCAGGGCCAGTTCAGGAGAGCTCAAATGCAAGCAATGCAGCTGATGATGGAAGGGATGGAGCCAGAATCCACCCCTTCCCATTTAAGGGCTGGCAGTGGAGGTGAGAGGGTATCTTGCTAGAGATCCCTGCCTACCTGAGGCCTTCCAAATGTAAATGAGTTTTCTTCCTTTGTTTCTGCATCCACAGCTGCTGGTTTTGGGTTTGTCCTCATTTGCTGCAGCTGAAGATATTGCCACTCTGCTCTTATTGCTGTACTTCCCCTCACTTCATAGTGTTACAATTAGATAGGTGAAAAATGAATTTTGTAGAGAGGGGTAATATCTCTCATTAGACCTAATACTGTACTGGGGAGGACAGGCACTTTTGGCTATACAAATCCTCCTCTAGATCTGAAAGAACTGCAAAAGCCAAGCTTAAGCATCCTGGTGCAGTGGAAAGCATCCTTTAAAGGTGTTAAAATACATAAAATGATTTTGTCTCATGACTCTGCCTCCTTCCGGAGATTTCCTGCATTATCCTCCAGGTTTGTGCTGGATTTGCAAACCAGGAGCAGTTCAGAAAAACGACAGCATAGTCTTTACCCATTCCACAGCTCTTTAGCCTATTGTTAAATACAAACGCTATGCGGTGCGTCTGAACGTCAGACCTCGTCTGAACGCGAGGGGCTGAGACGGTAACGGCTGATGCTTCGCTCAGACACCAGGTGGAGCTCGTTGTACACCGGCGATTCACGAAACCCAGGGCAGGTAGGAAGGAAGAGGATGAGACTTGGACCTGAGTTTTACTGATATCATCCTATTTCTGTTCTTTACTTGGTCTCTTATGCTCTGACTGGTAACTGGCTCTATCTGAGACATCTCACAGCAGTTATCCGTGGCTGATAATTCCTCCATGCTTCTCTTTCAGACGGGAGTAATTCTGCCATGAACTCTGCTCGTATCACTGTGGTTGAGGGTCAGCGTGTTGCAGTCACTGCAGTTAGGCAGTGACACCCTGTAACTCCCTTGCCTCGGACTTTGATTTATGCTCTGGTCTGTCATGCAGAAATCAATACAAAATTGAATGCCAGAAAAATAAGAATGTGTACTAGGAAAAAAATCCAGGTGCTGCACACTTGTTTGTGATTTACCATGGGCTACAAAAGAGATTCAATAAAAACAGTGAAGCCACTCGGTGCAGTACCACATCCTGTATTCCCATTCCTGATGCTGCCCCTTTGACAAGCTGAGTGTTTGGGGCTTTGCAGTTGTACTCATTGGCTGATTCCTGTTTGTGAGCCTGCAGTGGGACCACAGCTTGCTGCTGGAAGATGCCATTTCTTTTTAGCCAGCGTGAAGCCATGCATTGTTGGGACGGTGAGTGAGGCTATAGCTGTTAGTTTGAAAGGACTGAGCAGTGGCTGTCACATTCCACTCCAGTGTGGTTGCTTTTTGAAGAAAAATGTTTCCAGGGTGAGAGTGAGCTGTTTGCTTTGAAATTTAGGTAGCAAAATCCTTGACAAGTCTGACACTTAAAGGTGCCACAGAGTGTCAGATGGAGACCTGACTTTCCTGATTGTAGGTATGTCAGTAATGAAATTAAGATAGTTGAAATAACTGCAGCTGTTCCCTGGGCACTTCCATCATACTTTCTGTCTACAGGATGAGAAAACAAAATTATATGTGCCAAGCAGAAATGAGAGGAGGCTGAAGTGTGAGTCATTGTCTCCTCAAGGCAAATGAGCTGCTCTTTCTTGGTCTTGATCTTCAGTGTGCAAGGGAAAAGGAAAGCTCCTTGCTTTGAAGTTGGCAGCAGTACTACATGGCTGCCTGAGTGCTGGTGTCTAACAGAGCCCAGAGTTGTCAAGACAACTTGGACTAAATCCCTTTTTTATTTGTTAATCTGAAAGTGAGCAGCAAGGGAAGGGAAATTTGTGTCTACGCCTGAGAGCTGTACATTGAAGGAAAATGTCACTTTTCTGGGTCAAAACAATGTGTCTTTGGTATCACTTGTTCTGAGCAAACAGGGTCATATGAAATTTTTCTCAGGGGCTTTCTTAGTCTTCTGTCCCTAGGAGTTCTATGACTAATGTGCTATATGTATTTTGTTGACCTGGAAGTAAGGGGAAAGAATCTGCTAACTTAGCAGGTGTAGGATTAGTTGCAAAACTGAGGGGAGCATCTTCATCTTCATATCCACAAAGCTAAAATGCCAGTCCTGTATGAGTGCCTGGGCTTGTGGTGAATGAGTGCTCCAGCTTTCACAGCATGTCTAACTGTCAGCTACTGCACGTAATCTGAATAAACATTTTAAAAAAAAGTTAGAAATGTTGAATATGAAAACAGTGATGGCTACCAAAAGGTCTTGTTGAAATGAATTGTACTTATCACACAGGTAAATATTTCCCTGACATTGAACTGAATACCATCTAGCATAAGGCTAAAAAAAGAGTGTGATGATCCGTAGGAGCAGACGCTTGGGCAAAAATGTTTCTGACCAAAACACACATTTTCTTGGTGCCAAAGTAACTGTTTTACTTAATGTGTAGCTTTCCTAAAGCCATAATGAAAACTCTCTTGGATACTGTGTGCACAGCATCAGACTGCTACTGCAGTGCTGCCTCTGCTGGGCAGCCATGTACTCCCATGGGGATTTGTCTTGTCTTTTCTGAAAAACTTTGTCCAAGTTTTATTAGTTTATTAATAAAATTTCCCTCTGTTAAAAAAAAATCAGTAAGCACAGGGTTAGAGAAATCGTTAGAGAAATATGCCCATATTAGGCAGCCTCAGATGAGAAGAGGAAAATTTGTTTTGCCCCTCCCCTCCCTCTGTTTCTATAAACAAATCTCTCTTTAACTTGCTCATAATTCTTCTAGGTGATGCAAATTCAGAGTTCTTTCTTGGCATTAGGGTCAGGTCCTCCTTGTCTGAGCCAAAATCGGCTGGGCCCCAGAGCCAGTCTACAAGCTGTCAGCTTGTTTGGAACACAGATTAATCTCCCTTCCAAGTACAGATAAATCCATCACAATACTTAGTGCTGTTTCACCTTCCTGAAAAGACACAGATGAGAGGGACAACTGAGCCTACTCATTCTACAGCAGTTCCTGAAAACCTGTGCAGATTTAGTTTGCCTGTCAGGTGCAGACCTGGACAGCAGTGACACAAGTTTCCATGCCTGCAGGTAGGGGGCAGCGGCAGGGATAGTTTTACACCTTGTTAAAACAGTAGCAAAATTATCTGCTGCCTTCTGTTTTGTGCGGTTTGTGCCTGTTTCTCTGAAGGAGACCCTCAAATAAGGACGGCTACAGAGAAATACAGATGGCAGAGGGTTCCTTGTCAGCACAGGACACCCTTGCAGGTCGTGGTAGGGGGAAGCACGTGCTTTACAGTCTGCTTTGGTCTTTTGCAAGCAGTACTAAACAAGCATGGAAAGGAGGGGAAAGTAGGAGCAAGGGGAACAAAAGGCAATCACTACCTTGCAAACAAACCTGTGCCTCTTTTATTCAAATAGTTACAACCATAGGTCTGGGGAAAAAAAAAAAAAGGAAAAAACAATACTGCACATCTTTAGTGTCTGTGTGAGGAAAATGATAGTGGGGGGTTGCATTACAACTATATACACCACTCATCATATAAGGCCCACCACAGTGAGATGGGACAGAGACAGCACCTGAGAGTTGAACACTTTGCACATGACAAAATATTTTCTGTACACCTTGTGATGTGCACTCTGGGCTTCCCTCCATCTCCGTGGGAATCACAGAGTGTGAATCCGGAGTGCTGGACCAGTTCCTAGGCAAAAATAGTGACCAGCAACTGCAGAGTTCTTGGTCATTTACAGATGTGGTTTTCCCTCTATGCAAGGGCTGAATAAGAGTGGGTATCAAGCAACCCTCAAGTATGGTGGTGGCATGCACTCAGCAACTTGCAAAGGGTACTTCAGAAGGACTACCACTTGATCACTAAGATTCATGTATTTCTTCTGTCTTTTACCCACTCACTCACTGTTAGCTGAGAAAAAGGGCTGTCTCCCTAAGAGAATGATGTATCCTGAGCTTTTCCATCTTTGAGACTTCTTCCATCATTTTCTTAAATTCTATCTAACAACTGTGGTGCTCTCTGCTTACCTTAGAGCTCAGCTTGCAGCACCACAGTCCTCTTAAGTCCCATCATGACAAAAGTTATTCTAAGCATTGTCCTGAGTAGCATCACAACAATGGTGTAAGAGCCCTCTGGCTGCATGTTTTAAGTAGTGCCATAAAGCAGCCTTCTGTCACATGCTTGCCTGGCACTTCTCCATAATTAACTCTGCTAGACTACACTGGGCAGAGCATTTTGATGAGTAGGAATGCATTTCTCTGATGCAGTTTAGCAGTGCTATTAAGGCCTGAACAATCTCAGTTTATTAGACTGTCTGAGAGATTCCTACCCTGATGGGACTTTTGCTGCAGCACCCTCTTCATGGCTTTCCTGACTACTTCCACAACACCATGACTTCATGCTAAAACCAACTCCTGCTTGGGCCCCTTCCAGCATAACTAGGAATTTGATTATGATCTCCATCCACACTGCCTCTGGAAAGGTCATTCTGAACTTCCATCCTCAGTTACAGAAAAGATGTCACCTCTTAGTAGGATGGGAAGGCTCAGGTGTTCCCAGAGGATGCCAAAGAAGTGAAACAGCCATAGCTCTGTTGAAGAGACAGAGCTACAGTCCTTCAGCGTAATGGTGGATCTGCCAAATCATGAGAACCAACGGACAATTAACTGGA